CAATTCTACCCCCTTAAGATGAATTTTGTCCTCGAGATTCGGAAGACGTCGAGTAGGAGACAGGGATACTCCGTCTTTGGACTCTTCTTTACTTCCTCACGTAGTTCCATCGCCTTGATAAGGATCCCACTTTACTTTGCATACCTGTTAACCTTACTCCAAGTATCTTGCCAAACTGATTCCAAGATTCTGACAAGTACTCCGTACCATACTCAGGTAACTCCAATCACTAGGCCACCTTTCCTATAATACCAATTCTCTTTCTTAAAATATTCACCTTTCATCGGAGCCTGACGAATCTCTTGGTCAGAAGGAGAATCTACCACTAATCTTTAAAACATTAATGATTTTGGTCAAGTTGCTCGAACTTGGAATACAATTCTTAATCCTTGGTGTCACCCGAACTTTCTTAGCATAATTCTCCATCGTTAAGGGCATTGGCCATGACTTTGCTTCCCTAAGCGATAGCACTTTTCTAAGTCATAAAACATTGAAGGCTTCAATCCAACAATGATCCCACAAGCTCAAAACCATCTTAGTGAAGATGTCCTTTAGATTCTTGTGATCCACTTAGATGTCACTTTTACGCCCCAGAAGATAGCACTTCCATGCTCCACAGTGGGCAACTCCACGTCACTCTTACATACTTGGGTGAGTTACAACCAAACTCATCATTAACTTTCTCGAGTTCTTCTCCCTATTTTTTTCTTTTACTATTACAAATAACATATCCCAAGAAGATAATTTCCTTCAGCAAAACTCACTTGCTAACTTAGTAAAACATTGAGATGTTTTGAGTCTCCATTAAATCAACTGCAGATGTCCAACATCTCCTTCCTTTGCCAACTTATCCTAGGTATGTTGAAATTAACTCCCAATTGATAATAACTTAAAATGTAACCAATATGGGAAAATACCCGAGCTCCTTATCCAACACATCTTTAGCGAAAACACCTACACTTAATAGTGATTTCCCATCCAGAGACATAACCCATACCTCAAGTGAATCACCAGAACGTATGAAGCCTTCGTCTTGCGACTTCTTTCACTTGGCTACCCCCCTTAAGAAAAGATAAAGTAGGGGAAACAAGAAGGGTACCTTGCACCTTCTTTCAGATGAGCTAACTAGTTTCAAGACATTCTGACATCTTGATGATACTCTTGTATATGGGCAAGGACAAGAAATTCTGAAATTCCTCCAAGCAGAAAAACAGCAGCATAGTAAAACAGCTGTAATTATCATTCTATTAATTCAATGAAGTTATAGCTTATACCGTTGGAAAGATTATCAAATCCTCCACAACTTCCTTCTACAACGCTTTTCCAAATTCTGCAGTTAACTTAGTCTAAAACTGTGCACAAGAGAAACTGTTCCTGGTTCCAAACAGCACAGATGCATCACCTTATGATTTTCATTACTCCACAACCAAAATAGCTATTAGGGTGATTCTTGCGCTGAGAGAAAGATACAGAAGTGTATTATTGTCCAGAATTTTTCCATAATTTTAGGTTATCGAAGAACAGAGATATAAGCTGATAAAGACATGTTGCGCCCAAATTACAGAATAGGGAAAATAGGAGATAAGCGAAACCTATCTATTTATTACATTGATCCTTATACCTTAGGCCTATGAACTAAATAAATTGTGGGAACACCTATAAGATCATTGCAATCATTACAAAGATGCAAAACAATCATAAACATAATGACAAATCAACAAAGCACTAAAGATGCACAACTCAATCATTGACTCAACTTGCGATACTACGGTTTTGTTACATAAAGGGTACAAACTCCTATTCCTTAACTATGGATCTTGGGTAATCTAGCTTGACTTCTTCATTCGTCACTCTTACCGAATGCTTCTTTTGGGTTGGGTATCACTGACACTTTTTGGTAGCACCTTGTAATCATCTGTCTCTGGCTACTTCCATGGTGTAATTGTCGATTCTTCTGTGGGCAAGATTTAACATAATGTTCTTCCTGCTGGCAATGATAACACTTTCTCTTAGTTGGATCCTTTGTGATGTCATTCTCCACAGAATTGTTGCTTAGTGTGTTGTCAGCTTGCTGACTCTGAAGGTTCATCTTTGTTTGACTAGACCACTTTTTAGCTCGCTTGATCTTTTGGGGTTGAAACTCCTTATAGGTGATTGTCCGTCCATCTATGCATACCTCCTGTGGAAAAAGTGGAGTAATCTTAGCTTGAGAAACTTCTGACTCTTTAGGGTCTGAGTTTATCTGACTAGGGATTAGAGCTTGATGTGGCAACGTAGTAGAACTCGAATGTTGATTGCTTTCTAATTCTGGCTCTGGTGAGACTGCCTTCCTCTTCTTATCCACAGTAGCTTCACAACTCAGGTTCACCTTGGCTTCCCTCTTATTGGACTTGCTCTGAAGATAGGGAAAACCATAATGCTTTCAGCATTGACATTGATACTGACTTTCGAGCGTATTACTACCAGCACCTTCATTGGACTTTATTTTCTTCCAAGCTTCTGCCACTTGTCTCTTCATTGGTCCCTTTGGTATGTTGGTTTGACCCTGTAGCAAGCACTGTTGAGAACTCCCATGTTGAGTCATTCCTTCTAATACTTGTTGCTGCATAACTAAAAGCTTCTCCTTGTCGAACGCAATCAAGGACAATGTAGCCTGGTCCTCCTGACCTTTGATGCCGGTGGTCTCCTCATTATAACCCATCTATTTAGATGAAGAGAGATGATTCAGAATAGAGACAAGGTTTTCATAACAGAACAGAGCCGAAGTGAGCATAACTTTTAGCAATTAGCAAGGTTAGGGGGGGAACAAGAAGTAAGCATAGATGAAAGCATACTAGAACGTCCAGTTCTAATTAGGCTTGCGTCTTACAGTTAGCATTACTCTGATACCACTTTGTAGCACTCGATTTTAAGAACAAAACCAGATACACACTATATGTGAGACCAGGAAGTCAAATCTCACATATAGCTACAAATAAGATTAATATCAATAGACAATGCTCAATATATAACGTACTTAGTATAAAGAATATAACCTTGATAGCAAACAGTGGAATGACAACTCCGATCTTTGGGTGAAGACATCAATTTCATAGGGACAACTGACTGGTTGATCACAAGCCTAATTTCTCCAAACTCTAGCAATCTGGTACTCATTTAGGATTTTTATCCAAATAATTGAAAATAAAGCAAGTGTAAGTACATGTCGTACTCAACAAATATAACATGGGGTTCATGAGGCTCAAAAGGCTGACACTTGTTTAACTGTGATTAGCTTTTAATTGTCACAATTTTAGCAATTGAGTAGCAACAAGTTTATCACCAGCCCATGTAAACATATGATCAGGTAAACATGAATAATGAATAGCATAAACAGTAATCATTAGTGAGTATCTTTATCATCAGTATCATCAATGTTCATCATCTATTCCCTAAATGTTCCAATGCCGCTCGTGACTATGAGCACAGCTGATATACCAGTTTTACACTCTGCAGAGTTTGTACACTTTCACTGTGAGTCGTGATTTACCCTTTCGCCCGAGGTAGCTAATCTCTCAATCCACTTCCAAGGAAGGTCGGCAGAGTTCACTATTGTAATGCCTCAGCCCGGGAAGACGGCTAAGATCCACTCTACACGTTGAATGGACCACACCTGCTGATTAACTTTCTTGCGCTTTTGTCCTCGCTTCACGCAAAAGGTTTAAACCAGAGTTAATTCTCTCACAGGCTTACGCCCTGTTCGTTTAGGCTGGTTTGGCTTATAAGCCATGGCTGAAAGTATTGTTGGCTGGTTTGGTGTGAGAGAAAAATATTGTTCGGTGACTGATAAGCCATAGCTTATAAAGCAAATACGACTAAGCGAACAGGCTGTTAGGCTTTTAAGTTGGTTCGGTTTGCCCTTAGGTTCCGATATGGGACTAGAGTCTCATAGCTACAGTACTCGGCCATTCGGCCCACCCCACCGGACCAACCCAACATGGCCCATTTAGCGGGGTCTCACATACACCTACCCTTGAGGACTCGACATCCTCGTCGAGGGCCGAACCAACCTACCCAAATAAGATAAATGTCCAGGATTGACTCTCTTGGCCACGTCCATATTCCCAGCTCCCCGGCCCAAGTGCCATGCTCTTGTAGAGCCATGCCCAACCTGTCCGAGCTCCTGAGCCATATGTCCAAATGTTCGTGAAACCGCGAGAGTTGGCTCTGATACCATTTGTAACGCCTCATCTCGGGAAGACGGCTAAAATCCACTCTACATGTTGAATGGACCACACCTGCTAATTAACTCTCTTGCGCTTTCGTCCTCGCTTCGCGCAAAAGGTTCGAACCGGAGTTAATTCTCTCCCAGGCTCAGGCATAAAGGGGCTATTCTTCATGGCACGGCCTAAGAAGTTCAAGGTATCATATGGTAAAGAGGACCTCGAGAGACTATTGTAATAGGGATTTAGATAGATTTGTGATAGTGTCTTCGTCTTTGATAAATACTTTTTTAATGTAACCGTAGCATTTGTAATATAAATCCTGATGGGTTTGTGATCTATGTGAACCTAGTATACATAGCAAATATAGAGTACCACACAAAAATATAAAATAAATTATAAAATAACAAAATGCAAAAAAAAGAGATCATTACCGGTTCACCAAACACTGGCAGTGATGATTGACATAGCACTGCCGGCTCGAGTACTGAATCGGTAGTGTTGCCCGACTCAACACTGCCGTTTCAATCCTATCAAGTATAAACTCGGTCTTTGCTCAAAAAGTATAAACTTGGTCAAGGTTAAACTAGTTTGACTTGGAGATATCACAAACTTGCAATCTTTTGTGGACCGAGGAGTAACGATACATCCAAATTTTCTATATACCATGAAAGCTTTACATCTTTTAGATAAGTGCAAAGATGGTCATCACACATTTCACAGCACTATTCGCTGTAACAATAATATCTGAGAGCATAAAGTGATCCGTACGTGCCAAAAGGAATCTAGACACAAGTTCTAGTGTTCCTTGGACTTGGAGTTGGAGAGTAGGTTAGCATAATCACCAGGGCCATAGAGCTCAAACAGTTCTGAAAAGAGCCCCTTCTTCCTCCTAGGATTGCACCCCATGTCACGGCAGAGCTGGTCGTTGTACCAAGTGTTCAGGATCATGATGCTGGACCGGCGGAAGTATCTTCCACAGTATCTCTTCATGTACTTCTCCCATTCGAGAGCACATCCTTCTGCATTGCCGCGACGTTCGGTAGTCTGAAGCTGCCGTCCAAGAAGCGTGCCAACCACTTGGCGCGAATGTCCGAGGCGTAGATATTCGAATGGGTATCTTAGGATTTATGCACTCTCTGTTTGTGAAACATGCATGTTTGAAATTTTAGCACGACTCATAAATGATGGCCAAGATCGAGAGTTCAAATTAGGACAAATGGTGAGAAACATATATATACATATATACCTGTAGAGAGGCACAGTAGTGGATTCTGACCCAATCGCGACGTTCCGGAAGTACTCTGAAGTGAACATGTCCTTGATCTTCTCGTCGCCCTTGAACCCGGTGCCGAAGATCGCCACGTCGCTCTTGACCGGCGACGGCTCGCCCTCCACGAGCACGCCTTCCTTGCATAAGCTGAATGTCTTGGACTTCTTGACCATGATGCTGCCTTCTTCCAGCCTCTTGTAGTGGTCCTTGGGCGAAACGCAGATGAAGGCCGCAGCCAGCGCATGGAACAGAGGCTGTGGTCAGGCACCATGCCGTGCTTCTTCATTGGGATGGAGTAGTAGCTCTCGGCCAACTTATAGAACGCCCACCTCTACACACACAGTTAAATTAAACACACAAATTATTTAATTTATTTCTGAATTCATCACTCCGAAAAGTAGTATATATGTATATCAGTTATTAATTATTACAGAAGTAGTAATAACTGGATGCATTAGACATTCGTGTTTACTAGCAAATATACCCGTGCGTTACAATGGGAGAACAATTTATTGTATTGTCAGTGGCACAAGCAGAGACAGTTTTCACACTCAGCGAGTTACAGATAAGAAATTGATGAAATTCTTCTCCAACTAACTTTCCACATTCAATAGCAAGATGTTTCCTTCTCTCTCCGATTTTTTTCGTCACGTATGTATTTTCTTTGTCGCAGTCGCTTATATCAATTCAGGTCAAACATGACCACCATCAACCTGCCGCCAGCTACTGACTCGCTAGATATGGTCTTGCCATTTAGGTTGGGGTGGGGGTTGCAATCGCACCTGGCTTGCGCTAGCTTTCCCAGGGCTGCTCCCAGCTGCGCCTGCTAGGCCCTAGCTGCGGCCGGATCTGGCCTCTGGCGACCCTCCAATTACCCGGACCAAGTTAAGCTACCGCCATTGGCTCACACTCAACTTAATCATCTTTAAACGTGAGTTGTTCTAACTTGTATAAGCACAGCTCATGAGTCCGGATCATATACACAACCTAGTACATCTTAGAATCGGACTCCGTATCACGATAGACGTGAGCTGTTCTAATTCGCATGAGCACATGTTATATAAGTCTGGACGAAAGAAACTACACTATCAGATAGTTAGGGGAAGCCAACCAAAAAAGGGCTAAAATTTTGGCTCTTTAAATAATAATATGTCAGGTATAGGTAGATCTAGAACACATAAATAATTGGAGACGATGAGAGTAGATATAGATAAAAATTTCAGCAAATTAATTACATAAAAGCATAGATCCATAGATACATCGAAATCTTTATAGTAAAGAATATTATATTATATGTTTACTGTGTAGCCCAAGTCAAAGGGAGTGTAACAAAACTGGTTTGGTATTTTTGTAATTTTTATATGATTTTTAAAATTCTCAACTGGTTCAAAAGAAAAGGAAACAGAAAAGAAAGAAAAAGGCCTACCGTGCGGCCGGTATTTTTGTGATTTTTTCATGATTTTTTATGATTTTTAGAATTCTCAACTGGTTTAAAAGAAAAGGCAACAGAAAAGAAAGGAAAAGGTCTTATGTGCGGCTGAGCCATTGGCTTCGGCCTAGCATGCAGCGTAGCCAGAGGCCGAATCCGAGGCCCACCATAGTAGGCCCAAGCAAATAAAAGAAAAAATAAAAGGATTTTTTGCATCAAGAACCCTAAATTTGTTTTTAAAATCGCTTAAGCCCTTCTATTATTTCTTTGTCTCTAGTATCTTTGCATCTGGAACCACGTTATTTCTTTCACATTCCTCCCTCAACCCCTTCTTCTTCTTCTTCTTCTTCCGTACTGAACGCGACTTCGAAATGAAACGAGGAAAGAAACGACCAGACATAAAAAATAGAATCCGAATAGATATTAGAGTTGGACAAAAATTTATTAGTTCTTTCACATTCCTCCCTCAACCCCTTCTTTTTCTTCTTCCGTACTGAACACGACTTCGAAAACAAACAAGGAAAGAAACGACCGGACATAAAAAATAGTGTCCGAATAGAGATCAGAGTTGGACGAAAATTTATTAGCGGTTGAAATTTTGCCTCTTTATTATTAGGTATAGAGTATAGATAAGTGGGCCATCGACATGGGCTATCGGATCGAGCGCTGGACATGTGGGGAGGACTTTGGGCCTGCTCAAACAAACTGCACAGGGAGGGAAGATAATACGAAGTCGTCGTCTACCTCCGTCTAGGACTCAGCTTCCTCGCTGTTCTTGCTATCTCTACCCCTGATTCCTTGCTGTACCTAGTCCAGTTCTCTCTAATCCTTCCCAATTTGCAGTTACTCTTGCATAATTGCTATTCAGTAGTGAGGGATCGTGACAGTTTATCAGTTGTTAATTAATGATTACAGAAGTACCTATGTCCCTAAATAACGCAACTATGATATGCGTGTCAGTTAAAGTGCTTCACATTTAACCAAGTTTTCAGTAAATAGTATTCACATTTATGACTCCAAATCAATTTATTATGAAAATATATTTCTTAATTAATGTAATGATATTTATTTGATATTATAAATATTTATACGTTTTTATTTATAATTAGCCAAACTTGGTATATAAAATATGATACTGTTCCAGAATTGCATTCTTTTGGGGACGAAGGGAGTACTACCAATAACTGAATGCGTTAGACATTAGTTTATGTAGTTACCAAGGGAGTCAGGAGAGTGGCCAAGATCGACAGGAGGAGGCCCTCGCCAGGCTTGTGGATGAGGAGTTCAGAGAAACGGTTGAGAGTGAAGTTTTTGCCATTGATGCCCCAGACGGAGTAGTCCAGTACGATCCAGTGCTTTGTCCGGACCACCATTGTACATGGGTGAGCAGTGCCTACAGCACAAACCAACGTTAAGTGGATGTGTACAGAACATTTTTAAATACTGTAACTCTGAAGTTTTAGTTCTAACACTGTTCAAAATGCTATAAGATATATACAAATATCAATTTAGATTGTCAAATAGATAATATTAGACTTCCAGAGGGAGTGATGAAGAGGACTATATATCTGCGCCGTACCATTTACTTCGGCACATTCAGCGGCAATATCAAGTGCAGATTTCATGTAGCCAACGACAGTCACACGCTTGCCCCTGATCATCTCCTTAGCTTTACTTGTGCCCATTTTGGCATAATCCATGGAGTGGATCACATGCCCATCAAATACTTCTGGACCTTTACCTGCTGGGAATGTGGGTATGTCGGGCACACCACTGAACATCCCTATGCAAAGAACGACAAAGTCTGCTTTGTGTGTCTGCGTAAAGGTAAAAACCAATTTCTGGATTAGACAACGGTACTCTGTATGTAAACATGCATACTCTGTTGTTGTTTGTTTGTAGGCTCAAGTTATTTTTTTAATTCCTAGGTGCATATTTATATTATGGTTTGTTTGGGTTGCCACAAACTACAGCATGGGTCGTATGGAGTAAAATAAAGCACTAGACTAGATTTTACCAGCCAAGCTGAGTTCACGCAATTACGAGGTCCTGTTTGGATCGCCTAGAACTAGGTATTAGTCTAACTCCTCTAAAGTTTAGTCCTATTTGCATACATGGACTATTAGCTACTACTAGTGATTTGTGGTGGACCTAGAAATTCATAGAAGAGGCGGCTAAAGTTCATCTTCAAGCTCTAGTGCTCATTCTTTCTATTTTCTATGTCTATATATAAATTAGGAGATACTACAGGAGATACTCCATTGTCACGGAAGCAGAAGGAGGGCGGAGGTGGCGCCCTTGGGTGGGAGAGCTTGAGCCCCGCCCGCCCCACCGCTCGATCCGCCCATGTTAGTGAACTAGTTGTTGTTAGTTAGGGACTAAAAAATAGTCCACCCATTTAGATGGTTTAGGACTGAACTTTAGTTTTGGTATCAAAAGTGTCCACAACTGTTGAGTTATGCTGAGAAGATATGAATTTTGTTGGGTTACGTACATATATAAATCCAGATTTGTTCAGGTATATATGTCCATATCTCTATCTTTACACTTAAAAAGACTCTAATGTCATCATCTACCCGGTGATACCAAACCTTGATCACCTTCACGTGTCGGAGTCCGATACATATCATACTGTACTCAGAGCTCACACGTCCGTGTCCTACCCGGTTATAATACGAATACTATATCCACGTGTCCATGTCCGATACAAAGTCCTCGGAGCTCATGCGTCTGCGTGAGATTACTGAGATTCAATTTAAAAAATTGTGACTCCAGTGCAACGCACGGGCATATATCTAGTCCATATATATTTACTTATATCCATGTCCATGTCCATGTCCATAGCTGAACGGATATAGATATGCTCACGCAACAACCATTCGATAGGAATATTGCTGTCACACATACATGAAAAAATAATTTTCCAAATATGGATATGGACATATATTTGAATTCTTTTCAGTAATAATATCATATCTGTATTATTTATAGAAATACTTTTCCTTCAAAATATAAATGTGAGTAAAATATAGTTATGTTGCTTTTTTTATCTAGCTCGGTTCATCCTTTTGAGTTTTGACCATGTCAAAAATTTTTATTGTTTGATAGTGTACCGCATGTACGTATATTTTAGCGAAAAAAAAGAGTACGGAGCTGCGTCATTTGTATCTCGGGCACAACACGAATGCATGCTAGCTCACCTCCACGTGGCCATCGTCGTCGGCCACCGACAGCCGCCACTCGCCGGCGCCGGAGCTGAACGCCTGGCCGTTCCCAGCCCACTCCTCCCACGCGGCCATGGCCTGCTCGCCGACGCCGTGGTACTCCATGCCGACCACCCGGTGGCCGAAACGGACGCAGCTGAGCACGCCGAAGTGGCGCGCGTACGCGTCGAGGTACGCCGCCACCTGGCGGTGGCTCGGGAACTCCTCCGTCACGCTCTCCGGCCACGGGAAGTCGGAGTACTGGTACATGGACCGCGGCGTCTGGAGCTTGGTGCTGGCCATGGCGCGCGCCCACACACCGCCGAGCATGGTGTCGGCCTCGAAGACGGTCGGCTGGCAGCCGAGCTCCAGGAGGTGCTTGCACACCGTGAGGCCGCTGACGCCTGCTCCGACGATGACCACCCGCTTCTTCTCCATGCCGGCCGTTGCCGGCGGTGTGATGCTTGGCTTGGGTGTGCAGCTAGCGCGCGTGAGGTGAGAAGCGGAAGCTGGCTGGCTGTGACGATGAACCTGATGAGTGATCAGGTGGCATCTTATAGGAGGTCGGTCCGATCGAGCTGTCATGTTTAAAACAAAAATGAAATGAGAAATGCACGATTGTGTGAAGGTGATTAATTTTAATTTGTTTATGGCGCACGATTTGAAAGATGAAGTTTCTTGTGTTGGACAGATTGTAGTCGCTGGAGGTTCCTGATAGGGTATGAGAAAGTATTATTGCATCTGGCTATCATGCTTAGCAACACTACTATATACACAATTCTTTTCCCAGGCGGTCAAAATAGGTTTTCCCAGTAGGGCATATGTCCGCCTCGCTCAAATCGTCAGGTGGCAAAAAAGCCTGTCAGCATAAATGGGGTTAACCGAGGTGGACATTTTGTCCGCTCACGTAAATGATTTCAAAAAATAAAAAGCTCACCCAAAGACGCCCACTGTGAGATCTCGCCGCCAGAGCGAGATCGCCGGCGACGTTGCTGTTGCCGGGTGTGGCCTCCCTGCACTCACCGTCGCCGATGTGGGAAGAGTGAGGGAGATGAAGAGGTGGAGAGAGAGAGGGAGGAGATGGGAGAGCTGTACCTGCCCCACTAGGTACCACCGACGCCCCACCGGATCTGTAAGGGACGAAACAAAATTGATGTGTTGAAAGGTCCTTGTTTGGTTTTGGTAATTGAGTGACAACCTAGGTGAACTAATATGTGTTTATATCAAGATACACAAGTGATTAGTCCACAGATACACTAGTGTGAGCAACCTGTGCCATAGAGGTAGAAATGGCTTGGATATATTGAAATGCTCACACATGTGATGAAGCAGCTTATTGCATGTGATACATGACATGGAGTCATGTGGCTAGGTGAAGAAGATCAAGACAAGGCTTAGCCTGATGGACCGGTTGCAAGTGTGAAGGGCTAGTTGGAGGCTTTGGAGCGACGCACTGCACCTGGAGGAGAAGCTTGAGCAAGGACTTGGCACCGATGGAAGGGCAACAGTGAAGAGCAAATGATGTTGAGATCGATGAACCAAAGGTCACATGATGATATGAATTGGATCATATCATTTGTTTTTGGAGGTTAGTGCTTGTGTGGCATCAACATTGGAGGAAATGGAATGCGCAAGGCAAAGGTATATCTTGTAGGACATTTCATTTCACTAGTCAAAGGTTGTGTAGAGAAGTGCATGACCGGGTTTAGGATAGATGGTCGTACGATCAAGAGCAGTAAACTTATTTGCATATTGGTCATCTAGTGCCACTTAAGTGATCTAACTTTGCATGCAATGCTAGGATCGAGTGGCGTGGAAAAGCACGTGAAAATCCTTTGAAAAATGTTTGTGAAAAGCTAACACATGTGCATAAGGTGGTGTTACACTTGGTAGTGTTGGCATATTTGCAAAGGGTAGGAAGAAAGAAGCAAGGAGGTGTTTTCTGTAGGCGTCTAACCCCACGAGTAGATGGTCCGACGCTACACGTAGGTCGGTCCGACGCCATGCATAGACAGAGGAGCGTCAGACCCTACGCATAATGGTCTGACGCTATGTGTAGGACCCGTTCAGACCAGTCTGGACCTTTCTGGACATGTTCTGTTGAGCGTCGGATCCTACATTTAATGGTCTGAAGCTATGCTAGGACCTGGTCTGACTGGTCTGGAGCTCTCTAGATGTTCTCTGTTGGACGTTGGACCGTATGCGTGGATGATCTGACGGGTGTCGGACAGTACGCATATAGGGCGCATGTGATTTAGCCGTTGGGCACCAATGGCCGCCTTCAAACGGCTAGTACATGTGGCGTGATCTAAGACCATCGGACCCTAACGAAATGGTCCGATGCTACACATAGGACGGTCCAACACTGCACGTAGAATGAGCAGTTTTTGCCAAACGACTAGCTTAGCTCTTGGGGCTATAAAAGGAAGTAGTGGTCGGCCTTGGCCGGTGCTTGGCACCCTTGGGACTTAGAGCCCATGCTTGGGGAAGGATCCTAAACAAAGTTCTATCAGCTAAACCAAAGTGAATAGGGCCATCACCGAAATAGCCAAAGAGTACCAAATCTCAACTGAGTATGAAAGGTAGGCTTCTGGCAACCATAGTAATAGTAGAACATGTGCAAGAGATGCTAGCTGTGAGGGAGGTGATCTCGCACCTGTCAGACTAACACAGGTGTCACCCCTTGACCAACCCGCACCAAGCCCAACCGACATGAGGCCCCTCAGGAGAATGTTATCTACATCTCCTCTTCAAGATCTTTTTAACGGTGGAGTTCCACAAAACCATCCAAATGGCATACCAACATGTAACATGAATATTATGCCATCACACTAGGGAATTTGAGTTAACTAATCAACTTTACTTGATAACAAATAACAACGGGATAGTGGTACACAAATGTTTCTTAATTAACCCTGTATGGTTCATCTCCATTTTAATCTCACTCGAAGTAATTATCAGGGTTAACATACAACTCATCTTGGAATCGCCCATTCCAAGGTCTACTAATCATTGGTGGAGTGAGCTTGGCTCAAGTCAACCGAATCGAATATACCAGCAAAACAACTTAACGGCAGCACCGTGAGTACATTGCATACTCGCATGACTTAATTCCAACATAGAATATTTGGTGGATGCAGGGATTTATCAGACATTTGTATATTTGTAGAAAAGCGATGGCGTTTATTAAAGAATGACATGCTCATGAATGGGATTTAATTTATCTTGTCATGGTAACTCTATGCATGGTAATAATAAATCCATAAAGTTTAAGTGATCACAATATAATCCAACTCATCATTAATTCCACATTCTCTCCACAATGGGTATAGAAGTAAGAACTACCGAAGGTTCCGTCCCTAGGGACTTTAGGCTTTCAAGTGAACTCTGTAGAGGTGTACAACTGTTCCCACACAGAAGAACGAGACTAACCACCATACCCGTGCGCAAGGGTAAGGGTTGCCTCACATCTCTAACCTTTCCCTAATCCAGGCAGAATATCCACAAAAGCATTGATAAGTTCCTGGGTAATGCTACCATCATCTACCCGACACCACCCTCGTGCCAGTTTCACGGATAGGCAAGTTGCAATTAGTTACTTGGCTTGTCGCCCCCATTTGCGACATGTGGTATGTACTTGTGGTTACTCGGACTCACTATCCCAATGAACAAACCTTAATTACTCCACGAGTTACATCACCTGGGATCCAACACCCACCGTGACCATACCCCTCGCATGAATAGAGATTTTCGATTGATCATCAAGATTATAATTCAAGTTAGGATTGGTTTTTAATCATGAAATGCAAACTCATAATGAAACAAATAGGGTTCCTAATAGTGGGGTGCCTGCCTGGTCATGCCGTTCAAATAATCGAAGCTGACGATGATGACTTATACACATTCCTCATGTCCATAAAGAGTCCTAAGAGAGTTGACAAATGGAATTGGAGATAATTGATAGGGAGATGGAGATAAAGATTGAGACTTTGATTTGGAACATGGGAAGAGGCATCCAAACTTGGCTCTACTATTGAACTATTTATAACCTAGTTAGTATTAGTATTGTTGACCACTTGGGTAAGTTTCTAATCAACATGACATCCTCTGTCATCATGATGGACTCTCCCCTGTATGTGGTGGAGACTCCACTGGATTGGACTCAAGGGTTACTTGGTTCAGTTAGGGTCCAAGAAGAAGAATTAAAAGAAATCCAAGGGATGCATGGGTGATTGAGCTAGGTGAAGATCTCTTGAACTTACTCTACATATGATAGAACCACCACCAACAAGAAATCTTCAATCTTGCACCAAAAACCACATTATGGCATACAACATTTGACATGGAAATTTACATATTCCAACATGTCAGCATGGAGGCAGGATGGACATATATAGGCCATATATTAAGCACACTTTGACTCACCAAAGCATTCACCAACCATCGTGGAGGAGGAGGAGGAGAAGAAGAAGGAGAATGAGAAGAAGGAGGAGGATAAGGAGAAGGAGGAGAAGAAGAAGGAGAAGGAGAAGGAGGAGAAGGAGAAGGAGAAGGAGGAGAAGGAGGAGGAGGAGGAGAAGAGCTAAACTATATCCAAGCTATCAGCCCAGGAGCCATTAAGGAGGAGGCCCACGAGGGTCGAGGTGGTCGATCAACGTGAAGACCAAGGCAAGCCAAGAATATCCAAGATAGGCATATCTGGACGGTAGTTAGGATCTATCTGTTGTGCATTCCATGTAACAAACTAGGAATCCAATCTGTTAGCCCAATCGCCCTCATTGTAACCCTACCACCAATGCCTATATAAAATAGGGTAGGGACCTCGTGATCGGGATCCAACTCATCTCATTCCAATCTACTAAGTAGCTAGAAGCATCAACCCCTGTATAAGCATACGAATACAAGAAGAGTAGCATCACCACAGGACTAGGGTTTTACACGCACCACGGCCTGAACCAGTATAAATCATTGTGTCTCATATGCTACCATCTGATTCCATCTACGCGATCACTAGGCATTGACAGAGCTAATTCATCTGACAACTATGCACTTACCAACTATATATTATTACGATATACGTGTGGATGAGGATCGGAGTCATCTAAACAACATGCGTGGCTAGACACTCCTGTCTCTGAAAACTAACTTGCATTGGTTGAGCATCTATTTATCTATCTAGCCAGATTGAGCATCTGGTCATCCATGCATGTTGGGGTACATGTGTATCGATGCATGTGAACCACCAGCCAGTCAAGAATATATTCGTGGACAGGTTGGTCTTATATCTAATTAACTCCATAGTTATGGCATGCATGCATGGGTTCTTTTTCCTGTCTTTGGTTTGTTTTCTTCTTCTTTTTTGAACATTTGGTTTGTTTTCTTTGTGCATATATACTCATCACTCGTTCTTAGCATAAACAGTGTAGGAAAGGTATATA